ATTTCATGTCATTAGCACCTCTAGTTATATATTTACTGAGAAAAATGGTGACATGTTCAATACTTATTTTACCCGCTGTACACGCTTACTTCACGCTCAAATATTCTGATATTCTCTTGGTTTTAGGATATTTTGAATAAGAATCCTTAAGTGCTTTTAGGCTAAACTTCTTTCAATCACCTCATCTCCACTCAGACTGTGAAATCCAGGAGTACAAAAGCAAAATCATCAAAGAAAGACAACCACAAAAGAACTACAAGCTACTGTCTCTAAACAGTTTCAAAACGACCCAACGCCAAAGGCAAATTCCTCAAATGATCGAGCGCACAGGGAGCAAAGGTCAAGGTTTGAGGTGCAAAGTTCACTGTGGCCGTTATCAATAAAGACCTCCTGCGAGCAGGCAGCGTCGTACACAAATAATTAACGAGCCTCCGAGTCCGTCTGAGACCCGTCCACCAGAAAGCAAGCAAGCACTTCCTGATTCACTCTAACAAATGTACAATGCTGTATTTTACTCAACGCCAATTCAGCATATTTAAAGACGTGGTTGACTTATCGCTCACACATATTCCAAAAAGGAAAAAAAAAAAAACAATACACTGATTCAAACATTCTCATAACTGAGATTTGAGTCTTTTATAGTTTAGTTTGGACGGTCGGATGGGTGAGGGGTGGGAAAGTGGAAGGTGGGCACACAGAAGGCGAGCAAATTCTCTTTGACTTGCTTCAGTTAAAAGGCCTCATGGGTGAGATTGCGAGAAAGAAAGAAAAAGAAAAAAAAGAAGGGAGAAAAGAGAGGGAGCTGTCACTTTAAAGCCATTAAGTCTCGCTATAAAACTCCTCCAATAAAAATGACAGCTGCAGTCCCCCTTTCTTCTCAAAAGGGGAGCAAAAGCATCACATCAGGAACACAAAACTGGACGGCTGTAAAAAGACAAACTTGGCCAAATGCTTTTGGCAGTGTAATTCCATCAGCCCGCTTCCACAACACACACACCCCTCCCAGCAGACACACAACCTTTCCCTGTGAATTACCTTTGTTCCTGAGTTACTGCCAGGGAAGGAATGTAGCTCACAGCCCCCTAAACTTAAGGCAAACAACACCATGAATCTCACTTTCTCATCAAAGACCATGAACTTCGCTGATTTTTGAAAACGGGGTCTGTGAGTTTATACAGGTTTCCAATGACACACAAAAGAAAAAGGCGATACGGATTCTAAAAGCCATAAAAGTTAAAGATAATGTTCTCATTAGAATAAACAMAACTTTCACATTTAAAAACTGATTTAGAATAAGTGTTTCTAAGAGTGGTCAACTCCTGACCACGACGAGCCCACCCCCATGCTTAACAGTTCAGTATAAGTCCTTTTGATGTAATAACTCACACTTTCATTCCAAACAAATCCTTTTTTCTTAATCAGTCGACAAAACTACTTTTAACACTGCAAAAACTGTCCATCTTACCAAGTTTTTAAATCTTATTTCCAGCGAAAAAGTCTTTTTGATCTTGTTTTGAGACTGATTTACTAAACAGGAAGTGATTGTGTAAGAATAATAATCTTGTTTTCAGAATATGTAAGATTATTTGTTTTGTTAGCCTAAAATCTTGACTCAAATTAAGTCAAAAAATTTCTGCCAATGGAGTAAGAACATTTTACTTGGTAAGATTCTTGAAATAAGAAAAAATTTAGTCAAATCAAGTATTTCAAGAAATGTTCTTACTCCATTGGCAGAAATTTTTGACTTAATTTGAGTTAAAATTTCAGGCTAACAAGGCTAATAATCTTACTCATTCTGAAAACAAGATTATTATTCTTACACAATCACTTCCTGTTTAGTAAATCAGTCTCAAAACAAGATCAAAAAGACTTTTTGGCTGATATAAGATTTTAAAACTTGGTTAGGTGGACGTCTCAGGACTTTTCAGAAATAACGCTGTCAAACTTCTTATATGGCCAAACCCCTGCCATAGGTACGAAAAAGAGAAAAAAAAAATCTATAAAACTAATAAAAAATATACATGTGCAACATTACACTTCTAAAATATTAATAAGAGAACATTACCTCGGTGGTGAAATACTTGATTAAAGTAGTCGAGTAAATGGGAAATCAATTTTTTTGCAGACTATCAATTCATCCACTTTCTTTACTTTTCCTTTCCGAGTTGCGGAAAGCTGAGAGGTGAGAGACACCCTGGACAGGATGCAAGTCCATCACAGGGACACCGAGACAAAAACCCATTCACACAATTTAGAGTTGCTAAATAATCTAACACACATGTTTTTTTTTTTTTTTTTGGACTAACCACTCCCCTACTGTGCCACCTTATTTACAATTGAGCTGGTCTGGAAATCTCCTTTCCTTTCACACTTTTGACTTCACAGATAGTCCCTCTAATGCTTGGAATAAAGGACATATCCTCCGTTCAATGTCATCCCTCCTTTCTTTATTGCTAAGTGTCCAACGTGTTTGAGAGTGTGTGTGAGTGCAYGCGGTGCAACGGTGGTTGATGGTGAGATCAGGCGGCGCATCAGTTCAGAGATTCTGGAGCCAAAGCGAGGTGCCGTCATCGCAGCCAACAATCAATAACCTGCAGAACGCTTTCTGTCATTTCATACAGATGCATGTCAGAATTTTTTAATGGAGAGCGACACCAGATAATTACCACGGAGTTAAGTGGATAATCAATGCATTCAAGGACTTTGTGGAYGGTGGTAACCTTGAAGAAAAAAATCCGCCTTCGACGGTGCAGCTTTAACCGTAAACGACGACTCGCGGGCGCTCGTCGCAAAGTCTGAAATCAGACACACGGAGGGTTATCGAACAGAGAAGCTGGAAAGAGTTAACGCTGGTGGTTTTCCAGATATGCTGGTATGCGCTTGTGAAATGCAGGTCTGCACTCAACGTAAACAAATCACTTGGCGGATTTTCGCAAAAAAAAAAAAAAATCACATGGAAGCTGATTGACCCACATAGTCTGTGTGTAAACAAATACGGTGGAATCAAGACAACAGCAGAAGTTTAGAGATGTTTGCACTTTGGACATCTCCGTAACTAAACAAACACACAGTAGCTGGTCGTAAATTTGCCTTCAGTTTCAAATGTAAGGACACCTTTACCATCCATCCATTTTCTGTGCACGCTTCTTCCTTTTCAGGGTTGCGTGGGTCACTGGTGCCCATATCCAGCTGTCACAGTGTGAGGGGCGGGGTACACCCTGGACAGGTCGCAAGTCCATCACAGGGCCTTAACCATCAATATGAGGAAAAATAAATTTGTGCTTTTAAAGCTGAAGAGAACAAATGACTGAAGAGAAACGATCAGATGGAGTGAACCCGCTGAGACTGTCAGGTCAGACGTTCTCTGCCTGTTTATGGGCGATCCTGGTCCAGGCAGTGTGAAATCTGAATCACTTTCAGCGCAGACACACACACACCACGGTGCACCTGGAATAACAGGCTGTGGGGGYGCGCGACACGGGCGGTTTAGCGCGTTTCTGGGAAAGCCACATAAAGGCTGTTGTGGCGACAGCGTTTAGTGAGCTGAGGCTGGAGCTGAAGAGAGCAGAGATCCCGGTGAATCGCCTCGCTGCAGCTGGTGAAATGTGTCAAGGTGTAACGTGACGCCCTTCTGCCGGAGCAGCAGACACAATACTGGGAGGGGGGGCAGCTCGTCTCTCCTCCAGGGGGAGGGGGTCTCTCTGCTCCATCCACCCTGACAAACCTACAGTAGCCATGTGCATTAATGATTTACAGCCTGGCATGCTTGTGTGTGCTCAAGCTGTGGGTTCAATAGAGCAATTAGTGGGAATTAGACTTGACCTCAGCTTAAACACTTCAATCAGTTTTGTTTTTTAAAAGATTTAAAAGAACCTGGCTTGAAATAAAGGCATATTTTCAAATGCAGTCATTTTACTCATTGATCTTTGAGGAGACTCTAAACTTAAGAGAAAAAAAATAAACTCTTGAGCAACGTGCAGAGGTCACCTGTTGAACTGCTCTGAGGTTACTGAGCTCAGACTTTGCTTTAGAAGTTTGTGTTTGGTTTTAAATTGTTTCAGCACAATTTAGTCACTTTAAAACACAAACAGGGAAACACTTACTTCTGCCTAAACGGACCTTTTGATGATATGAGAAGCAGCTAAACTGTTTTAATTAGTTCAGTTCTTCTTTAAAGCAAAGGAACGCACGAGGTTCGACAACAGTTTGTTTCATAGAGGGGAAATGATTAAAAAAACAACCTTAAAGTAAAAAAAAAAAATAAGTCAAACTGTTTTCAGCTTATACAAACAGCAGTTTGAAGAATTAAATGTAAAATGCACGGTTGTAAAAAAGGGAAATCAGAAGTTTTAATAAAGCCGCTCGTGCGTTTTGGCAACTCACTCCACGCGCCGTCAAAAAAAAAAAACACCGCCGCGCGCGATGGCACCCATACAACAGCGAGCTCTCTTCAGAAGGAGCTGGTTCACAGCAGCGCGAGGCTTTTTCTCATTAAACAAACAAACTTACCCAATGACAGGAACGGTTTGGTCTCCATGTCCGACTCGTAGGTTAGCTCATGCCCGCTGAGACGAGCGCGTTCGGGACTTCTTCGCTTCACCCGCAGACAGACAGACAGACAGGGCAGGCGGTTGCGCGAGCTCAGCAGACCGGACCAGGACCAGAGGGCTCTCCCTTCTTGCTGCTGTGGACTTCTCGGAGAAGACAGGACTTGCCTGCGCGCGGTAAAAGTGACAGGTCTGATAGTGTCAGGAGATAACCTAATGTTTCTGCCTCTGTTTGCGCACTCAGCTGCTCCCTCTCTCCCTTCACGCGCTCGGGTTGTACAAGAACTCCAACTACTGGAACAGCGCGCAGAAAAAAAAAAAAAGGGACCTGCGCAGGGGGTACTGCCACGGACGTACTCAGCTCTGCAGCGACACCAATAACTCGCTCAGGGGAACTTTTAAATTAAAGGAAGTCATTACAAAGTATGAAATTTGGCATAAAAATGTTCTCCTTAACTATACTAAATGGTGCAGTGTTTTCCCCCAGTTGTTTTACAGATATACTGGGATGCAATCTGGATATGCAGGTCTGCACTGAAAGTAAACAAAGGTGATTCTACAAACTTGAACGATGCAATAAACATATTTTAGAACAGTGGTTCCCAAACTTTTTGTCTTCTGACCCACAAAATATCCATGGCAAAAACTTGTGACCCCAAATATTACTGGTCTAAGTACACGAACTTCGTTAATAACCCTAAAAACACAGGCTTTTTGACAATCTTAACTGTGCATACACAAATATAAATACTTATTTATACTTATTTTGTGTTTTTGTAATAATTATAGGGAAAATATTACATCAGCAATTATTTTATTACCCTTTAAACTGATTTCTGGAGATTATCCAAGGTGCTTCATGACCCATAATTGGCTC